GTGTGTGTGTGTGTGTTGAAAAACCAGGTGTCATCTCATACGTCACCACGTGGAGCCCTCTTTCGAAGCAACACAGCCAGCATTAGTGGTTGGGAGTGCCGGCAAAGGAGCTTATCCGCGGTGGTAAAAGGCGTGCATGCAAACGCAAGAAGTAAAGCACAACGCAATCGTTAGCGTTAATACAGGCCCGTGTCAAACACCCAATGGGGCGTCGAGCAATGATGTGTCTCATGAGCAACATTTGATCTTTAAAAGAGACTCATACACAACAGCAGCAACGTTCTTTGCCGGTGGCGTGGCCGGCGCTTGTAGCCGTACGATAACTGCTCCACTAGATCGTATGAAGATCATTGTGCAGGAAGGTCATCTTGTCGGAGGGTCACATCAATTGTCTACATTCAAATCAGCTCGATTGATCGACGTCTTTAATCTGATTAGGACTGACGGTGGTTGGCGCGCATTTTGGCGTGGAAATGGCGTCAATTGTCTGAAGGCGGGTCCTGAGTTCGCTATGGTATTCACACTGCGTCGATATTTGCTTTCACTGTATGAAGATGGTGTGGAAGAAGAACATCGGCTACAGCAGCAGCGCAAATCAATAGAGGAGCACGGAGGCCTTGCGAAAGATATCAAAGGCCTTCCAACCTCGGTGTTGCCTCCTCCGTTGGATCAATACGGGACCTTGTCCGGTGTCCCTCGTATATTCATCAATTTCTGCATTGGGGCCTCTGCGGGATTTGGCGCACAATTCGCTCTATATCCACTAGAAGTCGTCAAAACGCGCATTGCCGTGTCAAAAATGACCGAGTTTCGTGGCGGCATGCGCGAAGTGATCTCGAAGACGTACCAGAACGGTGGTATAGCGGAGTTTTACCGCGGGCTCACACCTAACATGGTGGGTGTCTTTCTTTACCGCGGTCTGGAGGTAGGGATGTACTCGACCATACAACAGCAGGTCATGATGCTCCGGATGCAGCGCCAGGGCATGAGCCGCCACGACGCCGCGCTCTCATCGATTGAGACGGCTGGTGTCGGCATGGTGGCGTCGATGATTGCCCAGACCGTGTCGTACCCGCTCAACGTCGTTCGCACGCGCTTACAGACGCAAGGTATTAACGGGCGCGAGGTGAAGTACAAGGGTATGGTGGACTGCTTCAGCAAGATGATTCGTACGAAAGGCGTCGCATCACTCTTCTCCGGCATTACAGCAAACTACTTGAAGGCCGTCCCTGCAAGTACGTGTATGTTTGTAGTATTCGAGAAGGTGCAGGAAATGTTGGTCGGCGATGATTAAGAGCATAATGAAGGGATATGGATATGACTTTTTTGCCGGTGAAAGAGGGAGGGTGAGGAGGAAGAACAAGGTGTGTTTGAGTGAGGGGGGAGGATGAAGAGTGGGAGGAAGAAGAAATATCTCGTTCTGAAACTCAGAGTGGCACCAATACAACTGTCGCGAATGATCTCGTTTGCTTCTGTTGGTTGAACTTCTGTTCACCCGTGAGCCCTCATTCGTTTCTTTTTGGATATTTCAGTCTTTATTTGAACACATTTCTTTTTTTTTTTGTCCTCTTATACACATTTTCCTCCATCTCCTCCTCCTCCTCCTCCTCCGCTCACATCCCTTCACCTCCGCGCCCCTCCTGTTCACTCCTGCGATGTGCGTCGGCCCACTCGTCGGTTGTTGTGCCACGTGCTGATGTGAGCGTGGGTGTGAGTGATTGCCATGGTGCGGCAGATTGGAAGAGAGAGAGAGAGAGAGGATGGCGATGTGTGGGCGAAGAAAACCAAAAAAAAAACAGAGAAGAAAAAAGGAGGCATAAAGAGAGACAAACGCAGAAGTAAGATATACTGGGTGTTTCACGAAAAGCATGGCATTTGCGCTGTTGTTATTAGTGTTGGTGTTTTCTTTGCGTATTGTCATGCCAGAACGAAGGGTAGTAGCTGTTGGTCGGTCATCCAATGACATTTGCGGGAGAGTGGGTGGACCGGTGGGTGAAAAGGAGCTGCGTGCCCCGCAAATACACATATATATATGTATGTGTGTGTGTGTGTGTGCATCTTCACAGTCACAGACCTCCTTGTGTCATCTCCCTCTGTGCGGTCTTTTTTTTTTTT